CAGGGTCAGGTGATGTTTCGTCCCCAAGGTTGCTGTGTTAAAATAGAAACTTTAGGGAATGTGTTTGTTTCAGTTGCACGCAAGGGTTGAATACCATACAATGCAATCAGGAGAAGCTGCTGGCCCAATCCAGTTTGTGACCTTTTTGCTTTTGATCAGTTTGACTGGTCAATGATCAGCTTTTGTTTTGTAGTCACATTAGTGGTGTGGCTGTATGGATGCCAAGGCAAGTTTGAAAGGCTGAAATATCTCAACAGTTTGAACATTTCATGGTGATGGATTTCCATGAACTTTAGACTGGATATTTTTGGTCCCCTCACAAAGGGATGACATTTTTTTGTCCTTGTGCCAGCAACAGCGTTTTGTCTTTTGGTTGTCCTTCCGTTCATATACATCTGTCCATCCAATTCTTGTGAACATCACGTCTTAGGAACACATTGAGGAATATCCTCAAATTTGGCACAAATATCCTCTTAGACTTAGGAATGAACTGATTTTGGTGGTCAAAGGTCACTGTGACCTCCCCAAACACATTTTTGGCCACAACTGAAGAATTTATATGCTAATTGTGAGATAATTTCACACAAATATTTAATTACATTAGTGATAAAGACATTTTACATCCAAAAGGTCAAAGCTTACCTTCACTGTAACATCAAAATGTTCTCTAAAAGCACTTTTCTGGCCATTATTCAACGTCATAATAACTCGGGAACAAAAGGGGAGACATTTGGTCAGACACTGAATTGGTGACACTAATCTTTGGTGCTCTCCTTGATCCTGTGCTGATTGTATTGATCCTTTGTGCTGCTGGATTGAAGAGTTTGAAGCATTGTCCGCTGTCTTGACTGCAAACTAGTCTGGACAGACATGGATGTAAACTACAGCTTGACTGGTGGTGGAGGCATGCGATCGCAAGGCGGTAATTCTATTTTTGGTTTTCAGAGAAAAATCTCTAATTATTGGATAGATTGCTGTTAGGGCCTGGTGATATGTCCTGAAAATTATATCATGATATTTTCAGACTATATCTCGATACACAATACATATCGATATTTTTAAATCTCCTCAAAAACATTTAATTAACGCTAGGACTTGGAGACAAAGTCGAACATTAGAGTATTTTTGACCAAATAGATTCTCTATTGCGACAAAGTTGTAGGGATGACTATTGTAGTTGTAGATGAATCATTAATAATGTGGATATAACAACAAAGTGGGTTAAGGCATGCGTTTAAACAAATAGAAAAGTCTGGTAAGTCGATAAATTGACATCACTTTACTGTAATGCAACCTTTAAAATGTGGGGAAAAATACCATTTTAGCCCTATCACGATACAACGGTATCCAAAATCGAAGATGATATGTAATCTTATATCGAGATAACGATATAACATCATCATTTTGCCCAGCCCTAATTTCTGTGAAATTTGAGAAATACATTTATGTGCTGCTCAGTGTGGATTTTAATATCTTGGTTATTGCTTAACTTTTTATCTAGCACCATCATCACTTTGGTTTATGACTAAATACTTCAAAATCAACGACATTCCCATCAGCCTCAGCTGTACTTTGTGTTAAATGCAAATTAAAAATGTTAGCATGATAACATCCAAACCATGATGTTGTCCATTGTAAATATTTACTGTTCACGCACTGACTACTGCACAAGGCGCAAGAGAAAGGAGAGAAAGATTTCATTGCATATTTTAGTTGTCTCTCTCGACTAACTGTTGGCTACTTGTTGCATCTGCCCTCGAGAGTTCTTTGTACTGCTCTGTTGATTGAACGGAAACTAACAAGAAACAAGAACTTTTTGTGGTTCTTTACCTTGCACCGTACAGTCCGACAGCATTCATTTCTGGGTTCCACTGCCACCTGGTGGAGATCCCTGTGCACTACCAAGCGGTCAAATTCAACAGCTGCTATAACAAAACAAAAAAAGATCGGTATTGACCGTCTACAGGCCGATATGGCTCATAGACAATCAGCATTCTGTGTCTGCACCCAAAAAAAAGGAGATTGTGGCATTCCAAGTAAAGTTACAAAAATTAATAGCTGTAAATATTTGGTGAAATTTTGAATTAAAAAAACTCATAATGTGTGTAATATAAAGTAAACTATCCTAATGTTTTTTCTCAATGTCTTTCAGCTCTACACACACCTCAGATTAAATGTTGCTGAGCTCAGTCCTTTGAAATAAACTTCACACATATTCCTGTGCTTGAATGTGTTGTCATCATTCCAGCGTATGAAAGCAAATCAGGGAGATACATTGACATCATATTGACGTCATGAAATGAAACTAGATATCCTCATGTGTCCTCATCATCATCCTTTCCAGTCTTGGAAGGCTGCGCTACCGTAAAGTGATTCAAGCTTAGATCATCAAAGAAAATGTGCATCATATCATAACTCCCCCACACAGTTTAGACCAAATATTTTCTGAAGGCAACAATAGTTAATATTACTTTAAAATATCAGTTTATACTTAAAAACCTATAATGATTTTTGTTTGTGTCAGTGAGTGAGTGGCTACTGCAGTGGCAACTCTGGCTCGCTAACAGCCCTATCGTTAACTAGTACATTAACAGATTCCCTAACAAATACACACACCAGCACAGCACACCCATGTGAGACATTTACGTGACTGATGTCCAGTATGCTGTGTGGCTAGGTGCCATTTTGGCGCCTTTGTCTCTATGCTAGGGTGAGCAGCTTTCGTAAGTTGACACCTACTTCTTCATATGACATGTCATGCGGAGGAGGTCTTTTTGCATGTTTGTGGATATCAGTGCTGCTCTGTTAACGCCAGTCTGGCAGCAGAAAGTAACACGAGGCCACAAGGAGCTGATGCAGTGTGTAAATTAAACGGGTCCTCGGGTTGCTGCACTTTTTTTTTTTTTCTCCCTTGGATGGTTTAACTAGTAAAAGTGAAAGTCTTATTGTGCATTGTTTACTATATGGGTATTACCAAAGAGGCAGTGTGGTTGTAGTTTTTGGTGGGGCTGCAGTCTCAGACAGCTGGTTGTAAAAAGGCTGACATCTAACCTTGCTACCGTGCAGCCAGGATCAGGGGGCTTTGGAGCCACACCACCCTCTTTAGATGGATGGGTTAACAGCAGCTCTTGGCCCAGTAGTGTCCTGTGAGGGTCAGTGCCAAGACCAATGTGCAAACCATAATCCCCCTCTGACATTAATATTTTCAGATGGAGGCAAGCAGGGAGCATGGTGGGGGGTGGCAATGTAAGCAAGGTCTTTCTGGCTGGCCTTGTTTCATGCTGGCAGTGGTGATAGACACTAAAGCCATTACTCATGGTGCAGGCATGTCCAGAATGTATTCTTAGCCCCTGTCTTCCTATCAGTCACTACAGAAAGGTTGGAGGGTCAAAAAATAAAGAGGTAACCAGTCTACAGGGCTGTCTGCACCACTGCTGTTTACCAGGGAGGGGGTGATATTTTAAACCTGGGAGAGCTCACATATTTACCCCACTGAGCCTGACTGACTTGCCATTTGGTGCAGCGAAGACGCTGGAGACCACTGACAGAAGAGAGAGGAGGCAAAGAGAAGCTCTGTAGCTACTGTTTGTACAGCAAGTAGCACGCAGCTTTTACACGTAGAAAACAAACCAGAGAAGAAGAGGAAGAGGATCAAAACAGAAGAAGACTGAGGTGAACTGAAGGTTTGAGGATAAAGGCGAGAATAGAGGGGGAACCACTCGGGGGAGGCGAGAGGTAGCCAGGCTGAGCTGACTTCCCCCCCAGAGGAGGAGTTGCAGTTGCCGGCCAGGGCAGGTCCCAGGGCTGGCAGGGCTGGCCCTACTGCTTCTCCACCTCCATTCCTTCCTCCTCTTACTCCTCCTTCTCCTCCCTTTTACCATCAACCAAGCTGCTGTGCAGTGATGAACTTACAGGCAGAGCCCGTGAGCAACACAGGAATGCTTAGAAAATCCTGCCAAATGAACTTCTCTGCCTCAAGTGAGGGAAACTCCAGAGGTTGAGCCTTCCATAAGAGGACCTCCCTTGCAGTATAGACTGTCACCCCTCTGTCCTCTCATCCGTTTTTTGTTGCACTCACTGGTTGAGTGCACTGAGAGACTGAGGGCGTTTTTTATACACTTTTTTTCTCAGTTTTTGCTTTTGTAAACCGGAACCGTGGCAACCTTTTCAGTAGCACGGTGCAAGGACCAGCTCCACTCACCCAAGATGAGCCGCTGGCTGAAATGCACCTCCATGCACTTTGTAGGTATTCACCAGTAGTGATTCAGTTTGTCACCATTAGCTGTTTTTGTAGTTACTGTTTGTTCTGTTCTTATGCTTTTGTCTGCAAATTGAATTTCCTGAAAGATGTGCTTTAAAATAGTGGTAATGCACTGAAGGAGTTCTTCTTGAGGGGAATTGGGACAGTTACTGTTGGTGGATCAATTTAGTGACTCATTCATCGCTTCTCATCCACTGGATATTGTACATGTCAAAGTGATGTATGTGTGGTATAATTATTTTTGATTGTTGAGTTTAAGTGCATTGCTGCTGTGAATGTACAAATTGCTTGTGTTTGGATCTCTGTGAAGGTTATAATTTGTGCTTGTGTGTTCTCTGTTCATTTATTATCTCAGTATAAAGCACCACTCTTGACTGTGCTTCCCAGAAGCCTTAAAACTACTCTGTTCCCATGCTTTGCAGCCATAACTCATGGGGGGTGGGAGATTTAGTGAAAGTGCAGCACATTCTTGGCACATTCTGCATTTACTTGAGTCTATTATTATACCACAAAAGAACAAATTACATGACCAATATTTCTGTCGTTGTTTTTGTGTCAGAAATGAGTTTGTGCTTCACATGCTTATGTCACTGCTGCATTAATTAGTCAACTTAAAGAACTGGAAACCAAATTATAGGCATAACTCTCTACTTTTAAACTAAGTAGGTAAAATACTTAATGATTTGGTTTGTGAAATACATAACATACTGTATGTCTGACTCATTCTCATCTTTGTCAGAACACAGACTGGAACAAGTATGATGATCGGCTGATGAAGGCGGTGGAACGCAGCGAGGTGGACAAGGTCGCTGCTGTTCTCAGCAAGAAGGGCATCATCCCCACCAAGCTTGATGTGGAAGGACGCTCAGCGTGAGTAAACACACACACACACACATCCACGTTCAGTGTGTTGACATATGAATTTTTTTTTCTTGGTTGTTACTATCTGCTGTGCCTCTGGAATATTTCCAGATCTAAAAATGCTGAGCGTCACAAATTCCAAACATTGTTGTGGTCTCCCCTCCACACACTCTGACATGTTTCCCAGATAAAGCATTTATAGATGAGAATTCCTTCACAATTAGGTCTTACTCAGAAATAGTTTACCTCTAGCCTCCAAGTCTCCCTCCATGACCCTAAAAAAAAAAAACAAAAAACAATCCCGCCCCCTCCAAAATTTCCCGTGGCCATGGCGTTCCCTCTGCAGATATCAGCCTTAAACTTTCACCCAGCTGCCCTGCATATGAGAGGCATTGCAGTCGCGTATTATCATGTGTCCATTTTTATATCCAGAAATTTCTCTTTACGTGTCCATCTGACTGGAGGTCAGTGTGGGAGTCGCTACAAAGAATGTTTGCGGCCACTGAAGGCTTGACCACGCTGGCTGGAGGCTGTTTGTGTAGTTCACACAGGAAATGACTCCCTGCAAAGTCAGATCAGATCCACTGTGCTGCCTGTAACACTGAGTAATGCATTTAGGCCCAGCTGCAGGCTATTATCTGGATAGGTTGACATCTTGAAGGACTGTGTTTTAGATGGTAGCTTTTTTCAGTGGGAGCCTCAGGATTTGGGTTGTTTGTGCTTTGCAAAGAGCTGTATTTACGCCCTTCACAAGGTTTAATTAGAAGAGCAGACTATAAGCCAGGATGAAATGGAAGGTGCAGGAGAAAAGTAGGTCAACCTAACTGAACTATGTTCAAGGAATTCTCAGATGTTGCATCCCGATCGAACAAGACCTCAGATATTTCAGGTGTCACATACAGAGCTTTGTTTGGTCCTATTAAGGATCATAATGGCACAACCTTGGAAACAATGCATTGGGCTGTTTAAAAAAGCCTTGTTTCTTTGCTAAATGTAACCAGATTCCAACAGCAGCATTTTGGGAGGCCTGACGCCCTCACTTTAATCCCAGATAAATGAAGAAGTCTCTGGTCTCTGGCCTGTGCTTCAAGTTTATTTTGATAAAGGCTTTGTTAAATCATAAAACTATGGAGCACCAGATCCCAGAAGCAAAGGTGCGGAGTATTTTCAGCAGTGTGTGAAATTCTCTTGTGGCTCCGTCGCACAGACCAACGATTATGTACATGCCTGCGTGTAAATAAACACGCTTTATACAATTATACGCACAACCTGATAAATGCCTGCTCTCATAATAAGGTGCTAGAATTTGTCAGAACTAAATCCAGTGACTGTAGGAGTTGTTGCGCACAAACACTGGCATGCTCATTATTTAGTGTTCCCCCTGCAGGGCGGGCAGACCTCAACTAGTTACCCATAAAATCAACACATTGAACATTTATGGAAAGAGGTCATGCTTTTGCCAAGTCTGCCCAAAACAAAAGTGAACCACAACTGCAACTCAGCAAGTCTGCTTATAGTTCAGTGGGCCACACACAGACAACACGTGTCTCCGGCCTTCTGGCCTCTGCATAAGCCAACACAGGAATGTCAAATGGCGATGCCTTGTAATCATGGTCCTCTGTGGGGAAACTAATTACAAAGTGTTACCCCTGATATATAATTCGGTGTGTCCTGGATTAGCCTCACTGTGTTCAGCTAATTAATTCAGTTCTAACCGTCCTATTGTGGCTTCCAGCTGGGTAAACAGTTTACATCTCTGCAGAGGCATTAGCTGTATCCCACTGAGGTAAACCCACCCCACCACACCTGCTCATTGTAGTGTGGTGCTGATAGCTCGCTGACAAGGGCTTAGCAGTGAAAGAAGTTCACATGACAGCACGCCACTCGAGACAGTCCCTCGCCAGGCCCTGCAGCATGAAACTGGCTCTGAGTAAAGATACTGCTGTGTGCCCGTTGTTTGTCAGGATTAGCGGAAATGAGTTTTGTGCTCAAGTGTCTTTTTAAGAAAAAGACGAGCAAACTGTGAGTTTCACAGTTGGATCTGCGTGATGTTGAGCCTGATCTTATAATGGATTGAGAGCAGAATTTTAAGTTAACTGCAACTAATGTATTCACATGCTGTGGTTTAGAAAAACAAGACAAAAGATCAGCAAACATGGACTTAATGAAAAGGATTATGGGGATTAATATGTTTTCATCAGAGCTAACTTAATGAGTTATGGCCACTAGGGGACAGAAGAGCTTTAAAACAGGGTGTTGCTAGGTACGCGTGTCTTGTGTCTTGGACGCATTAAAATCCATAAGGATGCAGTTAACTTATTTTTAACACGTCCTATTTGTTCCCTCGATGAGGCTACATTGCTAACGACAAATCCATGATGAAACCTTGCTGTCAAAGAAAAAAAAGCCACCATAACATTATCGAATGCATGTAAAACAGGTTACTCCAATCTCCCCTCACTGGACTTCAGTCCTGATCTACATGATGATACGTGATGTAGCTGTAGCTAACGTTGGCCCAGCTGCTGGAAACAGATGTCCCAGTGACGAACACCGCTGTAGCTTAGACTCCGAACAGGGGTGTGTTACTATGACGGTTCATCACGTCTGTGTTAACTTTGTTGGAAGCACGTATAATTATAGTCCTGCTGTTTGAAAATCAGCTTCTGGCCTCCGTTAACTGAACTGTTGCTTTTGTTTAGCATGCTAGTTTAGCATTAGCATGAGTCTCAGATAGCTATATCGCACAGCCACCAAACAACTCTGTGTAAGTTTCACAACCGTATGCTTCAGAGTTTATCTTCACGACTGCCTCAGTAAGCAAAGCGAGGCACGCTGACACTTTTTTCCAGATTGGAGTGCAGGGAGATGAGTTTGTTTTACAGTTTATGCAGCTCTTTTGGGCGGATACCATGCACTCATGTAACTCAATCTCATAAATATGTAAGGGCTCCACCTAGTGGTGCATTCCGCATCTTACAGCAAATCTACACAACATTTTCTGACAGTTTAAATTACACGTCCCATTGTCTTCTTATTGCTTCTAATTTTTAATGGCAATCAATCGTTAATCACCGATATCCCCAAATCTAATTTAGTAAACTGTGTGAGAGACTAGAAGGAGAAGCATCAACATCAAACTCAAGTTTAACAAGACAATTAGTCAAAAATAAATCGTTTGGGATAACCATTCAAACGTCCACCTGTGGATTGCGGTGTACTCACTACATTGAAAACCTGTCAACATCACTGCAATATTAAACATTCAGAATGTCTACAATCCTGGCAACCAGATAAATGTAAGTCCATTATTCTCTCTGGTATTAGCAGTGGTTTGTTTTCCACCAACTCCTGTGAAATACATGTCTTTAGCTCCCTACAGGTCAAGCTTTCTTCACCAATTAGTCGCTGATCTTTATCTGCTGTTTGGTGTTGACGTAGCAACACACAGTAAGTTAATCAAAGGCTATTTTTGAAAGCAGTACCGCAGAATTGAGTGATAAGTCAGTATGGGTTCATCGTGAGTGACCGCTTTTGTAATACACAGTCACCGAATAAGTGCAGCTTTAAAAGTTAGTCCGGTCACTAAGCAGGGAGGTCACTTTTCTGTTTTGATATCATGGATCTCCAAGCTTCTCACTGGCATGTAAATGCATCAGAAGACTTGCAGACTAAATGTGCAGCTATGATTGAGAAAATATGTACATATACATTTCAAGTTGTAGATAGTGATAAAAAAGATGTTGATAGTGTTGTACATAGCTAACACATTTGATAAATACTTATCAGGAAGGAATTATTTGAAGCTACAGTTGTATTTTGACATACACTGTCTATGTCTCAGCTACCAGCGTATACTCTATGGTTTACTCTTCCCTGTCCACTCGCTAAAAATAGCAGCCATATCTTATAGACTGTCAACCTGAAAGCCGCCCAAGGAGCAGGTGTGAAGATGAAATGACATAGCTCAATGTGCCTGTACTCTTAAATCCAGACCCATTAGTCTCCTACAATTCACCTCTAACCATTTTACTGAAGTGTCCAGCTGAGTACAGCTCCTCAGAGTCAGTCCTTTGTGTTTGGTCAGTGTCTGACACGCTGCTATTTGGTTGGTTTCTTTGTTAGTCTAATCCTGTTATTAACTTTCTATGGAGGACTATTATAGTTGATTTAAGTGTCCTCAAATCAAATCTGTCTGTGTTTGATTTCTTGGAAATAGTCATGATGTTGTGGCAAATACATCATTTTCAGTCTAAAACGTCTTGGTAGCTGTTAGAGCCACTTACTGCCGTGTTGGCATACTTTACCCACATTCAAGTTTGCAGTTATGTTCAATGTTTGTGACTCTATTCAGAAGCATTCCTCCAGTTACCTTCTGGAAAATGCTGTGGGTCATGAACTTGGCAAATCACATCGCTTCTATCCCCCTGACTTAGCTCTGGTCTGCTTCCTGTCTACTGTTTGCCCCAGAGAGGTCAGGACCCTCCACTGCTCCCCAGAGAGCCAGCATCTCCTGGCCATCAACACGGCTTTTAATACCCGCAGCAGTGTTGAGGTGACAGCCTAGCTGTCTCCTTGGCAGATACCTCGGGGTTAGTGTATAAACAGGTTCATGTGACTTGATGGGTGACAGACTGAGATTGGTTTACACACAAATGCTTTGCAGACCTTCAGGGCTGGTGGCGGCGGCGACAGTGCTGCTGTGGGTTAAATCAGAGAAGGGGAGCAGGAATGTTTCCAGTCAAAAGTGATGATTTAAGACATGTTGGCAAACAGTTGCAGTGGGAAACTGCATAACTGAGTGTGCAATGAACAAGGGAATATGGAGACTTTAAGGCAATTACACAAGAATAAAAGTTTGATGAATCAGTTGCAATTTAAGATTCATTTCGTAACTGTTTTGGGACTTTAAATCGAACCACATGATCCTCATTAGCAGATGGAGTTCGAACAGTTGTCATGAAAACAGATATTCAGATGTCCTTTTTTACATGAGCCTTTTAAGGGCTTCTTGTCCTTGTTGATTTAAAAGTTGAGTTTCAAGTTCAAGAATAAACCAGAAATACTTATGAATAAAATAAATTGAGGTTGGTGGCCTCGCTAATAACGTTTGTTACCATGCGCTACAGGCTATTAAGTATCATCACATTATGCAAACAAGACAGTGGACACAGAGGCAAATCTCTCTTGAATATAATCATTGTGTAATAGTGGCTTCACAGAAAAGTTGACTATCAAAACCACTAGTCTGCATTGTTGTAGACTAATCGTTCATCTGTGGTTTTATCATGGTGCAGTTATAAAGCAGTGGCATTGCATCCACAGCTGATAGGCAGCTGGGGGACACTGTGTATAGTTATTGTTAACAAGTCATAGTTATGAGTTGAGATGGCCTTCTAACAACTGAAGGTGGATATAACTGGTTGTTGTTGAACATAGATTTGTACAATCATTTTCATTGCTATGCCATGTTAAATAAACAGAATTCAGGCTGTTTCGAGAAGGACACACTCCCACTACGCCTAGTAGAAAGCAGTCGCTTCCTGTCAGTGCGCTGGTACACCACTTAACGTGTAACAGTGAGGGCCAAGAAAACTGTTAAAATGGAGTGTAATCTGTCAGCCAGCGGCAGCTACAGCAATTGTCAGCTGACGTAAATAACACTGGCCTACAGGGCAAAAGCCATTGTAGCTTTCCTATAGGGTTGGGAACCGATATTGGTACAGATTCCTGTGCCTGGAAATTAGTACACTGACAGTTCATTGCCTACACGGGCAGTAATGTTCACAATAGGAATTTATGTAAGCCTTGTTTGTGTTTGTATGGACCACGTGCTCATGGAGATGTAGGATCCAGCGTATCTGCCGGCTACAAAACCTGGTGTGCAGACTCCACCTACCCAGGGCAGCAAATATGACGGCTTGGTAATGGTGCGGACCCAGTAGCTCCTGCTCAGACAAGCCTGCTGGGGGTTTAATCTAATCAGATCACTGCTCATGTGTAAACAGCCGAGGACTCTATGTCACCTAATCCCAGGGAGGTTGGGCCTACATGAGTTAACCTTTTACTGGTTGTGTTTGAGAACGTTTTCATTTGAATTGATAATTGTTATCAAGAGAAAAAAAGAAAGATATGTCTCCTGCAATTAATCAACTAGATGGCTTCTTTTGGGGGCTGTCAGCGACTTTTTTGACAAGAATTGATTGCAACCATCCGAAACATCCCCCATGTGCATGTAGGAGAACTATGGTGTCTGATGCCAAAGAGCAGATGACCCTATCTAGAACCAGTGTTTGGTTTGTCCATTCTGGGCTACTGTAGAACAACATGGCAGACTATGTGGAAGAGGGCCTGCGTCATATGTAGATGGAGTGGGTCATGTAAGGTAATGAAAACACTACGATTCTTAGATCCAGGTGATTATAAACTAGTACACACATGATTATGAATACCATTTCTGCCAATATACCCCCTTAAATCTTACACACTGGACCTTTAACCTTTGATATCAACATGATATTGTGTGACTTTAAATAGGGTGGTGCTTTCACTGACAAAAAAGAATGGAGGACACAAAAAGTAAAACATGACAACCTTGTGCAACCTTTTCATTTGCTGGAAGTCTTTTTTTTTAATCAATTTGATAGTGCTTATGTATACAGCAGTGAAGCTGATAGAGTCAGACAACATTGTCTGTGTAGCTCTTGGTTGCCTTGGAGTCATGACAGACCCTGAGGTTTCTTGTTATTTGCTCCAAGAATGCTGATCTTGCTGATAGCAAGGAGCCAGGCGTCCGTTTGCAGTCCGTCTCTTGTCCTTAAATTTCACCCTCACCCCCCTTCTCTTTACACCCTATCACTTTTTCACTTGCCCTCCTCTACTCCGCGCTGCCTGCTCTTTGCCATCACTCTCCGTCTTATGCCCTGTCTGTTCTTAATTTTCCCTCGATCTCTCTTGTTGTTTTGCAGGTTTCATTTGGCTGCGACGCGAGGACACCTCGACTGTCTCAATCTCATCCTGGGACACCATGTTGATATCACTGCAACTGATGCCACTGGTGAGTTCAGGTTGGATTCAAGTAATGCCCTGGAGCAGTGTGATCATACCCCTATTATATCAACGAGAATGGATGTAATACCAAAAACACTTTGCAGTATAACACACTGCAATCCAATGCCACAAAAATAAACCTAAAAATAAACCTCACTGTGCACCTTCAAAGTACTGTAGATGTGGTGTCATTTCCACATTACAAATCAAGGTGTGTTTTGGTTCTCATGCCAGACCACATGTCCTGTTTTTAGGAGGGAGAGGAGAATGTGTCAGGCAGAAAATTGGTCTTATTAGTGGTCTGTACAGCAGATTAACAGAGGCAAAGTGTTGCTCACTGCTGCCATCATAAATTGGGGTGTGATATTAGGCTGGATAATGAGCAAGAGACATGGACTGACCTCATCCCTGCCTTCAGAAGCAATGTAGACAAAAGGTTTAGGCAGCAAGGCAAAGATGGAGGCAATGAAATACTCTTGTTGAAGCCATGAAGCAACGTTTTGGTCTAATTTGGCTTGAAAAGAAAACGTTATTATACGATGTGTTTTCTGTAAAGTGTTGCACATTACCATATTTTAAATCTAACTTATTTCAGGGTGCAAATATTGCAGGTTCTCTTCAAGCATGACCACATAACCAAGGACAGAAAAAAATCCAAATATGTCATTTAAAGTGAAGCTATTCAACATCAGCATTCAGCCAGCATAGAAAGACTTAAAAATAAAGATTATTAAATTAAAAGAAATACTTACTTATTCCACCCTTTCAAATACAATATCCGAAATGTAACAGTGTGGCAGGGCTTCCAAGAAAACTAAATCAAATTTATTTCCAGTTGAGAATCTGGTGAGGGTGCACATGGACTGTACAAGGACATTTTCATTCAGAATTGGACAGATAAATGCCCTGCCATAAAAAGAAATGGACCCACTAATTGCCTCCTGATTGACTCATTAGTATCAAAACTCATGGCCCCTGGTTTTCAAACCAGATGAGATCAGAGCGATGAACTGATTGATCTCTTGGTGTAATGGCACATGTGCAATAAACCTTGAAGTTTTTAGCATCATCAGAACGAGCAGCAGAGTTTGGCTTGTTCTGGGTGCTTGTCACAGGATAATATTTTAGTTTAAGGCACTGTCATGATGAAGTGATACATACAGTATAGTTATTTTTTGTTTCCCACGGTGCACTTATGAACCTACAGGCAGTGGGCGATTTGAGGAAGGATGCCATCCCTCTTGTTAACCTGCCATCCCTCTCCATTCAAGGGTCCAGACCCTGATGCCGTTCTGTATTTTCTATCACAGAAAACACACATTTTATATTGTCATATTTACTGGTAATGACACATAATATAGCCAAATCCATCACGTTGTTAACAGCGATGGCCATTTACCTGCAACTTTCAGCTCCCTGGCGACCTCCCTCCAACCTGCTGCCACCGTATTTAGGTTTTTGTACTAAAATGAGGAGGTGTTGTGTGGATATTGCAACAGGAAAAATAGATGCATAGTATTCGACAAAAGTGCAGCTGAAAACGGCAGCAATGTGTCGCTCGCAGCCAGTTGAAACATTCAGACAGAAAACCGTTAAGTCAGACTGAAGCTCACTCATGTTGCATTCAGTTAGGACGTAGTGTAAGAGCAAATAAAACACGACAAATAAAGTAATCCCTTCAAGTAATCTATATTTAAAGACAGTAACTGTACTCAGAATACCATTAGTTTAAACTGTAACAGAATACAGTAGCAACCAGAAAACTCAAACACTAAATTGCGTGCATTAAATCATCTCACATGATGCTATTTAGACTATCCAAGTCTGTGCATTTTGACTCGAGTCAGTGAGATACACATAGAAGAATAGAGGCGAAAGACACAGTCAGAGAAAACTAATTTCAAACGACATGTTGCCAAGAGCCTGCAGGTCACAGAGGATGTTTGCACACTGAAGGCTTCACATAAAAAACTTCTCTTTTCTTCAGGATTGAAATGTCACCTCAAAAGAAAATAGAAATAAGTCATTTGTTTGAAGCCGACAGTGTACAAACCTCATTCGTGACCTGCAGTGAAGTTTTCTTGGTCTTGCGCATGCAGAGTATTTTTGCCTGGATGTGTGCATGCTTTGTTCCTTCTCTTGTGTACTCTAAAGACACAATATAAGTCAGCAAAAGCTGAGTTTTAACCAAGAATGGATGGACTCTAACATGTTGTTCCCATGGGCAGAGTTATGTCTCATCATATGTTCCGAGACAGTGGCAATTATTAAAAGCAGCATTGAGAGGTACCACTACACAAAGCATAAAGCATCTTTTGAGCAAACATAACCACTCAAATCTAAACTGAGGACACAGAATAAAATATTTTACATCAATCAGTCAACAATGAATTTATTATTAATCATATAAGGATCAACTCCAATGAAATAACACCAGTCAGATATCCCCCCACCCTGTTACAATGTACAAATCGCCCACTGCCTACAGGTACTAGTGGTAATTGCGCTTGTTTTTGGCTCTACATACAGTGTAACCCTCTATTATGAATGTGAATTTTTCTGATTGCTGCGTTTATGGCTTTCAGGTAAAAACGCTCTTCATCTGGCCTCAAGAAATGGACATTCTCTGTGTGTGCAGAAACTCTTGCAGGTAAAGTGCAGTTGTGTATTTCTTACACTGTTTGTACCATATTGATATTTACCCCTGTGAGAAGACATGCCAAACTATGAGATAAGGTCTTATATGTTGGTGTGTTGTGTATCTCCACACTGTATGCATGCTCCCCAGTCACTAGCCAGTCAGAGCAGTTTCCCTCTCAGCTCCTTTAAATAATTATTGCCAAACAGCTCTGGCAGCTGAGCCCACTCCGTATCGGTCAACAGTAGGCTCTGTTGAGTCACCGTGCCCCACTGGGGGATTTATGTGTTTACAATCAGGGGGCTATCTCTGCAATATTGTGCTCTCATAGCGTTGTAGCCCTTCCCCCCTCCGCCCCCACCGCTCTCACGGCAGTGATCTAACAGAGGTCGCGGCTGTTGGCAGGGGGTTGTCAGCGGTGTTGACAAGCCTACCCTCCTGCAAACCTGCCGTCCATTCTTGGTGCCGTCATCACACCAGACATAGCAGCTGGACGCCAACACCCACCACCCGCACCGCCTCCACTATCTCCCTCCGTCAGCCCAAACCCTCAAGATATAGGATATCCCCCCTCCATGCTCCACCGTCAGCTCCCGTTGCCGCTCTGACTCCCCACCTCCCCCCACCCCTTCGCTTTGTCATTTGAGCACGCTGCTAATTTTTGGCCCTTGTTGCTAGAGAGAGTTGGGTTTTTATAGTGGGGGGTCAGAGCTCACTGGCAAGCTTACCCAGCAACATCAGGCCCCTGTTAGCATTGAGTCCTCAAGGCTTTCATAGCAGGCCCTCATCACCATGGTACACTCTGCCCAGCTGACTGACTGGGTAGAGATGTCACAGGCATATCAGCACAGCGCCACTTAGCCTAATATGACCCGCCTGCTGCTGCCTCTCATGTTCCACTGCAGGCCAGTGGAAATAAATGATTTCTAGACTGTTTTTAATGGAATTACTTAAATCCACGGGGAGTTTGAGGTAAAACAACCCCTCACGTCTTTGTAAAATGTCACCAACATGATGTTTTTTTTCAAATTCAGATTCATTTAATTCTTTTAGCTTTGAATAACTGAAAATACAAGCTCAGTTCATATGGTCAAACAGTTACCGATGTACTTTAGATCTGTGTGTTCTCAGCACAGAATTTCTCTCATCAACTGCTGAATATTCTTCAAATTATTTGCTGTTGATTTTTAGTGCTGGTGAGAGTGAGAAATCAGTGATATTAAACAAGTAAATTAATGTACTTCATTATTTTACTGACATAACTTAGAGCAGAGGCATTTCAGCACTTTTTAATAATTTGCTTCACTTGATGCCGTTGTTCCAACATTTTGATGTTATTTTACAGCACAACTGTCCAGTTGGAAATGTGGACCTACAAGGAAGAACAGCTCTACATGATGCTGGTAAGACTCGACTCTGCTGACTCTACTACTGACTGTACTGTTGTATAATGCTGTCTCTATTCTAGAACTGACTTGACTGTAATCTAATTCAGCCCTGACTCTACCCAACTTGACTCTCTTCTGTTTAAGATAAATAAAAACCCCTGATAGCTCTTTACTATATTTTGCATTGCTTTAACAGAGCACCCACATGCTCACTGAAATGTTAATATCTTCCACATCTTGATCAACATATTGTTAGTAGTAAGCAAGAAAGCTCTCACGAGGAACTGGGGTAAAGAAACACCACCAACAAAAGACTAATGGCTGACAATTTAATGGAGAAATTGAGACACATACTGAGACTACAAGAAGCACAACTAGAGAGAAAATGAGGAAAAATGGACTCTGTACAAGACTCAAAAAGACGACACTGGACTGAAATAATAATCAGTAGATACACAGATCCTTAAGGCTCTAAAAATGCAGAGTCATCCAAGCAGTTTTTGTTTCGTCAGGACTTTTTTCCCCCCAGTTATTTAATTATTTTATTATGCTGTTGGTTTTTATAAAGATTTAAGTGAAAAAATATATCTACCATATCATATATGTCAGGGCTGCACAATAAACCAAATATTAATGGCGATCACAATATGTGTAGAGTTTGCATGTCTAAGTGTCTGACTTTGGCCACCGGTAGGTTATGTCAAAGTTAGGTGACATTAAATTGCCCGAAGGTGTGAGTGTGAGCGTGAAAGGTTGTCTGTCACTGTGACTGTGATAACCTGGTGACCTGTCTAATGTGTACCCTGCCTCTGGCTGAATGTCAGAGATAAGCTCCAGCCCCGCTGCGACCCTGAAAAAGATCAGTTACAGTTAATGAATGCATGAATGGTAACTGCGATGCTGATGTTTAAAATGCATCCTCCGTCCATAGAAAACTGTCAATCAAATCAAGCGCTTCATAAACAAACCGCCAGCCTCCGCTTTTGAAGAGCTGTCATGCTGCTATGTGTGCAACCTGCAGCTGCAGCCTGTGAAAAGCTCTCCTGAATGTTATGACATCAGACAGGGCCAAACAAAAAACAGCCATTCATCATCTGTTGTTTGAAAGCATTTAGGATTTAGGGGAGAGAGAGAACAAATTTTATGCAAAGTGTGCATGAGACTGCCTGCGCCACAGAGCAACACAACTAACTTGTTAAACCACCTGAAAAATCCACGCAGCCTGCAGTACGGTGATTTGCATAAAGGCTGAGTAGAATGACATTTTAAATGTTACCTCACTGAATCTTGTCATTGACCAGCGTCAACCCTGAAAGATATGTGTCCATTCTGTCATGGCATATTTATTTTTAGTTAGCCTATATTCTGGGTACAGATTTATTTATGTTTTGCTTCAGGAACATGCAGTGAATCCAGGTGAACCTTGTTTTAAGTCTTATTTTGACGGGAGAAATTTGTAAATCAGCAGGAAATTAGCACAACATGAAGGGAAAGCAGCGCTCCATTGATTTAAATGTTAAAGTTCAATAAAAGAATATTGTCCAAAAATCGATGAGAAGAGTCCAGTATAATAATGCTGTCTTTATTTTAAGAGGCGCTGCCGGCGGTGGAGCTGACTGATGAACGTGTATTTCAGTGATTGCAGTTGTTATTTTTTCTCTCCACAGTCATGGCTGGCTGCTCCTCCAGCGTAAAACTTCTCTGTGACAGTGGGGCTTCTGTGAATGCCAGTGATTTTGTGAGAATTGATTTTTTTTTTTTTTCCCCATTTCATGTCACACAGTGTGTTGTCTGTCTTGGTCTATTCTTGGACTTTCTTTTCTGTGTGTTCAGCTATAATTATAGAAAATTATATTGATCTGCCTGCTTTATAAAGGCTGTTACCTCTGCAGTCACAGATAATAATTCAGTGTGAGATCAGTTAAAGCAGCAAAAAAGAGTATCATCCAATAAATCCTAATTTAGTCCAGTTCTGACTTCTCTATGTTCTGGATTACTCTGGCTTTTCTTTTCTTTTTTTTTTTGGCTCTTAGGTGAGATACAAATTGATTCTTTAGATTGGACTGTGTTGTGTTGGAGCTGTTGGATGTTGTGGATAGATGTACATGTGTGAATATCTTTTGATTTTCCTCCAGGATGGCAGGACACCTCTAGTGCTGGCGACCCAGATGTGTCATCCACGCATCTGTCAGCTGCTGCTGGAGCGAGGGGCTGACATCACCACCCGGGACAAACAGAGCAAGTAAGAAGAGTGGCCATATAAATATCAAGTTTAATAACTGGAAGTCTGTTGACGGATGGCGAAGGATGTTAACTTAAAACAAGTCGTTCCATTTGCATTTCTATAGATTTCATTACTTTAAAATGTAATAGACAACAACTAGATGTAGTGACAAGAACAGAACAAATCAACTCGTCAAACTCCTCACTAGTAGTTGAACAAAATGCATGATGAATGCACGTTTTGATTGATTTTGATAACCTCATATGCATAGCTAGTTTGTGTGTTTTGTGTCAGTCTATCTTACTCATAAACTGTCTTTGTTGATGCCCTCAGGACAGCGTTGATTCTGGGCTGCGAGTACGGCTGTAAGGACGCAGTGGAGGTGTTGCTGAAGAGTGGCGCCGACGTAAAGGCAGTTGACGGCTTGGGTCATGATGCATTTCACTACGCTCGCCTCAGCAAGAACGCGGAGCTTGTTGCGATGGTCAAAAGTTACCTGGACAAAGCCACCAGAGGTGAGAAGGCAAAGCAGACTGAACAGTAAAGAATCTTGTGGCAGTTTGTTTGGAACAAATACAAGAAGAGCATAATCAGCATGGTCATTTATTTATAGCAACAAGGAGAAGGATGGCCTCTGAAATGTAAACATCTGTCTGACACGTGACGGTAGCAGTAGTGCTGTTAATTGTCAAGTGATGTCCAGGATGTACTTTGAAAAAACAAACAGTTTTAAAGTCGACTTAAAGCTGAGAATCTTGGACTATCTGTTTAAAAAAAAAAAGACAATCTACATACAGTTTTTCAAGGTGAAAGGTTATTTAGATGAAGAACAACATGTGCAGGCTTTTTCTTGCTGTATTTAAGCTGCCTTATAACATTGGTATTATAAGTAACAATGCAGTGAGTCACTGACTCTCATAGGCAACAGCAAAGTGTGGCACATTCTGGCTACACCGAGGAAAACACTGTATCTTTAAAACCATAATACATGCGGGCAAAAATATTTGACACCCTGAGGATGTTTAGATTTTAATCTCAGGTTTTAGATTTCCTGTAGAATTATTGTCAGTGCAGCATAAAATAATTTTATAATTTATTTTCTAATGTCAGTAAGTGTTTTCCAACACTTCTCAAATTTAATATTTCACAGTGTCGTCAGCCATAGTCTAGACTTTCACGATTATTTCCTGATTCCATATTTCTCTGATATATTTTTGGTCCTTCTTGTTGTGTGTTTCTTTCCCTGAACATGTTGTCAAGGAACATTGCCTACGTTTACATGCACAAAATATTCCAGACAATGTTCCTGCTAAGCTGTTTAAATGGCTAATGAAATGAATATTTCATTAATATTCCCATTTACATGCAGCTGTGCACACTCTGATCAATATGCTCCAGCATGTTGTTCATCACATCAAAATTTAAAAAACATCAAAAAGTAAAACTACTGGAATCACTTGTGCTGTTTGCATCAAAATAGGATTTTTCAAAAGTTTGTTTTTTTAGTATGGTGACAAATTATTATTTGTCACCATGCAAACACAACCTCCCTCTTTCATTCCTTCAACCACCCTCTTGAAATGGTCAGGGTTGTGATATTTGTGTATATCCAAAAACCTGCTGATATCCAAATCTTTCATAATGTTTAAAAGTAGGTGTGTTTTTCTTCGGACCATAAATGTGGGAACATGTCCAAAGAATGCTCCTGTTACCAGAATACTACTGGCATATCCCATGTTTCCTAATTGGAAAAATTCCTAATTCAGAATATCTAGAGGTTCAGAGTTAGAGCGGGTCGTCCACCAATCAGAGGATCAGTGTTTCGAATTCCATCTCCTCCAGTCCGCATGTTGAAGCATCCTTGGGCAAGATGCTGAACCCCAAGTTGCTCCTGATGGCTGTTCCATCAGTGTGTGAGTGTGTGAATGGTAACTGAGTAGCAGGTGGCACCTTGTATGGTAGCCTCGGCCACCAGTGTGAATGTGTGTGTGAATTGCTGAATGTGACATGTAGTGTAAAAGCGCCTCGAGTGGTCAGAAGACTAGAAAGGCGCTTCATTTACCATTTTACCATTTAACTTAATATTCCATGTACATGACCCTCATCAAAGTTGAAATATTATCAAGGTAGGAATAATAGCGGAATATTAGTGCACATGTAAATTAGTCACTGTTCTCTGATCATGCCTGTTTTTGTCAAGTCTTGATAACATAGGAGAGGAAGTCTGAATGTGCTGTTTTCTCGTTTTGTTCCAGATAAAGAGGCTGCAAAGATAGAACAGTGGAAGCGACAGGTAATCCTGCAGCACTCACTTTACTCACCCACTCCATCCATTAAACCTCACCTATTTTACATTGAGGAGCAGCTGTTATTCTCCACACCTCACAACTTTACATATTTTAGAGCACCTTCATGTGCTCATGGGGCATTGTTAAAAGACGACAAAGGTCAAGCTTGCCTCCATTCCTGTCCGGCATTCAAATCCGGAACACTCAAACACTCTGAGGCATGTATTATTTAAGCACCCAAAATTCTGCATTTTCTCCCACTTGTTCAATATTTCAGATCATTTTCTTTGACTTGGTATTAGACCTTTTCATATTTATGAACCTGTAGGAAACTCACAGCAGCTCAGATGTGCATGACTGCCATCTAGTGATCATAAGAGAGAGTTGTTCCATAAGCTTTCACAGCCTGTGGTAACGTTATATTTTCAAAACATGGTTGTTAAAAAAGATCCTGTCTTGTTTTCAGCACTCAGTGGAGAGAGCAGAGGCAGCTGAGGTTACCAGAAGGGATCAGATCATACATGTAAGTGCTGTATAACGTCACCCTCCCTGTTCCACACAGTTTATCCAAAGTCTAAGCCATTAAGACAGTAATTTCTGTAATTCACTGATGAATTATTAGTTGTTTTTTAACATCCAGTTTGTAAGCTTTATGTGTGTGTTTCAGGACCTGGAGAGGCAGAACGAGCAACTGCAGGAAAATCTCAGGAAGTACCACCAGGATCAGAGAGCGCTGGTAGATAAGGTCAACATGCTACAGCAACAGCTCACACAGGTAAACAGAGCAAACCAGTAGAGTACAGTAAAGCCCTCCAAGCATGCTCGCCTTTCTCTACTCACCTGCTTTTTTCTGTTCATGTGTAGATGTGATGGTCCTACCAGAGGTTTGAGCGATAAATATAACGAAATCTAATTATAAAAGCTGAGCTGAGTCAAGCTGTCGTGCCTTAATAACGCAGTCCCAGGTTTTGCTGAGTCATTAATGTTAATGTGATGTAGGAAATGTGTAATTCTGACCACAGGCGTTTTTTCAATACTGATTGCTGATGTAAAAAAATAATGGCTTTCTTTGAAATGCTGCATTCAGGGAGCATAATAGATTTTTCATTATAAGCTGCCAGAACACTATCTAATCACAGATGAACACAGAAGTTCAATCAAATACATTTCAGTGATGCACTGTCAGTTATTGATCCCTCAGTTGTCTGTACATACAGTACAGGCCAAAAGTTTGGACACACCTTCTCATTCAATGTGTTTTCTTTATTTTCATGACTATTTACATTGTAGATTCTCACTGAAGGCATCAAAACTATGAATGAACACATGTGGAGTTATGTACTTAACAAAAAAAGGTGAAATAACTGAAAACATGTTTTATATTCTAGTTTCTTCAAAATAGCCACCATTTGCTCTGATTACTGCTTTGCACACTCTTGGCATTCTCTCCATGAGCTTCAAGAGGTAGTCACCTGAAATGGTTTCCACTTCACAGGTGTGCCTTATCAGGGTTAATTAGTGGAATTTCTTGCTTTATCAATGGGGTTGGGACCATCAGTTGTGTTGTGCAGAAGTCAGGTTAATACACAGCCGACAGCCCTATTGGACAACTGTTAAAATTCATATTATGGCAAGAACCAATCAGCTAACTAAAGAAAAACGAGTGGCCATCATTACTTTAAGAAATGAAGGTCAGTCAGTCTGGAAAATTGCAAAAACTTTAAATGTGTCCCCAAGTGGAGTCGCAAAAACCATCAAGCGCTACAACGAAACTGGCACACATGAGGACCGACCCAGGAAAGGAAGACCAAGAGTCACCTCTGCTTCTGAGGGTAAGTTCATCCGAGTCACCAGACCCCGGAAATAGCAAGTTAACAGCAGCTCAGATCAGAGACCAGATGAATGCCACACAGAGTTCTAGCAGAAGACCCATCTCTAGAACAACTGTTAAGAGGAGACTGCGCGAATCAGGCCTTCATGGTCAAATAGCTGCTAGGAAACCACTGCTAAGGAGAGGCAACAAGCAGAAGAGATTTGTTTGGGCCAAGAAACACAAGGAATGGACATTAGACCAGTGGAAATCTGTGCTTTGGTCTGATGAGTCCAAATTTGAGATCTTTGGTTCCAACCGCCGTGTCTTTGTGAGACGCAGAAAAGGTGAACGGATGGATTCCATATGCCTGGTTCCCACTGTGAAGCATGGAGGAGGAGGTGTGATGGTGTGGGGGTGTTTTGCTGGTGACACTGTTGGGGATTTATTCAAAATTGAAGGCACACTGAACCAGCATGGCTACCACAGCATCCTGCAGCGACATGCCATCCCATCCGGTTTGCGTTTAGTTGGACGATCATTTATTTTTCAACAGGACAATGACCCCAAACACACCTCCAGGCTGTGTAAGGGCTATTTGACTAAGAAGGAGAGTGATGGAGTGCTGCGGCAGATGACCTGGCCTCCACAGTCACCGGACCTGAACCCAATCCAGATGGTTTGGGGTGAGCTGGACCGCAGAGTGAAGGCAAAGGGGCCAACAAGTGCTAAACACCTCTGGGAACTCCTTCAAGACTGTTGGAAAACCATTTCAGGTGACTACCTCTTGAAGCTCATGGAGAGAATGCCAAGAGTGTGCAAAGCAGTAATCAGAGCAAAGGGTGGCTATTTTGAAGAAACTAGAATATAAAACATGTTTTCAGTTATTTCACCTTTTTTTGTTAAGTACATAACTCCACATGTGTTCATTCATAGTTTTGATGCCTTCAGTGAGAATCTACAATGTAAATAGTCATGAAAATGAAGAAAACGCATTGAATGAGAAGGTGTGTCCAAACTTTTGGCCTGTACTATACATATATATATATATATGTTTATATATGATCTTTTTTTATTTATCTGCAGGAAAAGATCACCGTGGAAGACACTCAGAAAGAGGTATGAAACAAAATTGATTGCTTGGACACTGTGCGCGTCACTCACAGTTTTCTCAGTTGTTGTCTTGGTTACATATGTTTATAAGAATATTACACTCTATGCACATTATACTCAACATGGCATTATTGTAGCATTAATGGGCACAATGTAGAGACGGTGTTCAGCGACTGTATGACCTCTCAAACCTTAAAAAATAATAAGGATTTTTGGAAGGATGTTGGTGGTGCTGTGTCAACACATAACTGTACATGTGGAAGTGAAGGGAAGGGAAAAGGAAAGCAGCACAGTCTGAAATGCCACTTGATTGTGCCTTAATAGCATTTGATAACATCCGAAAAGGTCCACATATTCAGGAAACCAGGCCAAGTGCTGCAGAAATAAAGAACAATAATTTCCTGAAACAAATGTAAAAAAAATAAAGGTTCCATTGTCTGAGTCTGAAAGTAGGGAAAGAAAAATGAACAAAAAACATAAAATCTTTGAATCTCACAAATGTCTTTGTGCATTTAAAGGTGTTTAGATTTGTGCTTGTGTATGTTTCATGAATCCCAACTGGTCCAGCCACGAGGTCCAGATTTCTCCTTAGTCACTAGTTTAAGGTCCACACAGTTTAATTTATTCAGCGTCATACATGCGTGTGGCCATGTTGTCCAGCTAGTTTGCTGTCTCTGACAAGTAGCTGTCCGTTAGTTGCTCACTCTACAGCAGGACACGGCACTTCAAAACAAAAGGTCTGTGCTGGAAATATACTGTACTTCAAAATAAAGTATTTTTATAAACTTGACATGTTTGCAAGTCACTTACAGTCCATTTTAAACAGTTGAAAAATCAGATAACAGTTGTTAAAGTCCTTAAGAAAGGGTGCGTGGAAGATATTTCTCTCTGTCTATCTCTCAAAGATGTATAAATATTGAATAGTACCAGTTCAACCAAAGGGTTTGTATACCTTCTGATAACTGATATAAATAAACTGTTCTTGCCATCATGCAATCAATCATTTATTCATCTGAAACTGTGTTTTGTTTTTCTGTCCATTGAATCAGAAGGAGCAGTTGAAGGTGTTACTCAGCACCAAAGACAGAGAGGAAGGAGCTCGAGGGCTGGAGACTGTCAAGGTCCAACTCCGGAGCACTTTGGTCAGTGACTTTATATCCATCTGATCCCTACTTTAAGCCTTTAAGCCTCAAGAAAACATTGCAGCTTATTAGACTTTGTCGTGCTGTGAATTCAGGATTCATCTCTGAAGTCTGCAAGTGATGTTCTTTGTCACAATGCCTACAATTAGTTGCCAGTTTATTAGGTACATTCAGCTCAAACTAATACAGTCTAATACAACAGTCCTGCAATAAACCCTCCTGTCATGAAGGTTATAATGCTCAGTTTTTGTTGAAACACTTTCAGATAGGTGTTCATTCATCTGTACAGTGTGGTGCTCTTGTATTATATTATACTGACAGGTTTTTCTATTACTCTGTCCATCCTTGTCATATCAATGAGACTAAATAATGTAGACTAAATAGCAGAAGAACCATACATTTGAATCAAACCTCTCTAAAACTGAACATGATGACCTTCACGGAGGATTTATTGAACAGGACTGTTATACCAGTTTTAGCTAAGTGTAACTAATAAATGGTGTGTTAAAAAAAATAGAATATGATTTAACCCTTTGTAATGAATGTGTGTATCTGTATGTTCACAGGGGGACTACTCTGGGCAGTCTGTTATCAAAGGTAAGCTTCCGTCCATTTCTCGAATCACAAAGAAACATTTGATATTATTTCAACCTTCACCAGCAGACAATGTGGAGGTTTGAATGTTTAACGCTGTTTGTCTTACAGGTAAAGAAAACATTTTGGTCAAACAAGCGCTCAGCCTGGACTCTGATAAGGTACGTTTTTATTTATAGAACTGTTTCACATGACCTGCAGACGTCTGAATTACAGTGTTAGCGGTCTCTATCAACAATCTGCATACAAATTAAACTTCTAATAAAGTATTGATATTATAATTGGAGAATTATAACTGAGAACTAATCAGTCTATACCAATAAAATTACCAGTTAGAGTAAAGAAACGTGTGGAACCTATTTGTGAATGTATTACAAAGCAATCAAGTACTCTCAAACCAAATGACTTGCTATTCATAAAAATGACTACTAATAATAACTGAATGTGTTTTTCCTCTTTCTCTTCCGATGCACCAGAATCCTGCCATGTCGCGTTCGCTGTCCAGACCTCCAGAGAAGAGTCCGCCCGCTGTAGGCTGGGACCTCTCTGGTGAACTGGACGCACTCCGACATGAACTTGAGGCTGTCAGGAGAAGACAACAGGCGGCTGAGGATGAAACTGCACGGCTTCAATCTGCCCTGAACCGTAAAACCCGAGAGTGCCAAGAGCTGGTTCAGAGCCGAGACACCATCCAGAAGCAGGCGGACCAGCAGGTTCAAGAACTGGAGGACGCCTTGGGCGACGTCCAGAAGAGGATGCTGGACTCTGAGTGTAAGGTCAAACAGCTGCAAGCCCATGTAGTCGCTGTGAAGGAACACTTAGGAGGCCAGGGGACGGAAGAAATGCGCGCCCAGCTCCAGGATATCAAGGCCAAGTATGAAGGAGCTTCGGCCGAAGTTGGACGCGTTCGTAACCGCCTCAAGCAGAGCGAGAAGGCCTTGGAGGAGTACAAGAGCAGCGAGAGCCAGCTGGCAGCAGAGGCAGACAGGCTGAACCAAGAGCTGGGAGCTCTGACTGCAGAAAGAGATGAGCTAGCGGAACACCTTCTAGAAATGGAAACACACCTGAAGGAGGTCCAGACTAAACATAGCAACACGGTACCTGCTGAGAAGTTTGACAACATGAAAAACCTGCTGACCAACGCAGTTGATGAGAAGGAGCGTCAGATCGCTGAGCTGAGGGAAGACTATGATCGTGTGCTGGAGGAGGTTGCTGAGCTCCATCGAAAGCTGGACTGTCCTTCATCCCAGGGAGGACCGGGGGCGATGTCTGCTGAGGAGCAACAGAAGATACAGGCGGCTCTGGAAGAGCAGAACGCTTCATTGAAAAGGAAGTTGGTTGATGTGACCACCAGAAGCCAGGCTCTAATTCAGGAGGTCGAGGAGAGCGAGGAGGAGAGAGATTTGCTACGAGAGCAGCTGGAGGAGCTCAACAGCAGGATTGAGATGGACTTTGTGCCCGTGAAGTTGCATGATGACGCCCGGAGGAACATGGTGACAGCTTTGGAGGAGCTGGAGGACAAACTGGTGGAGGCCAGTGAACGCTATGGAAAAGCAGAAGCGCAAGTTCAACAGCTTCAAACTGAGAGGGCCACACTGCAGGAGAACATCAGCAGTCTCCAAAGTGCCAGCGAGAGACGCCTGAGTGAAATCGACGCTCTGAGATCTCAGAACGCCGACCTGATGAAGAAACTTGAAGTTTTGGAGAGGAAATGTGAAGACAGAGATAAAGAGTGTGTGCAGCTGTCCACACAGAGCCAGACTCTGAAACAGAGCTTGGAGGGAGAGTACGTTCCCAGACAGCAGCACGAGCAAGTGAGGATGGAGTTAAGCTCCACCTTAGAGAGCGTTAAAGCAGAGATGTTGAAGTTGGAGACCAAAGGAAAAGAAAGTGGGGAAGAATTGAAGAATGTGAAAGAAGAAAATGATAAGTTGAAAGAAAAGTTGGAGAGAGTCCTGTTGGAGATGAAAATAGATTATATGAGCGTAAAAGACCACAAAGCAGTTGCAGACAAGTTGAACGCTGCCGTGGTCGAGGCAGAGAACAGAGCGAACGAAGCGTCGGCAAGGTATGTGTCAACTCAGGAGGAAAATGTAAAGCTTACTGAAGAACTGGAGGCTCAGAAGAGAGAACTTGATACCATACAGGAGGCTATTCAGTCCAAGTTTATCCCAGTGACTGCGGCTCAGGAAAAAGAACACTCTTACGGCGCCCAGGTGAAGGAGTTGACGGCCAAGCTGTTGGAAATGGAGGAGAAGTATAACAAGGAAAGGTCTGCTGGAGAGAGCAACAAGCAGGAGAGGGAGAAGCTAAAAGTTGAGATTGAATCTGTTCAACAGAGACTAGACTCTGCTGTCGTTAGCAGTGAAAAGCACAAGAATGTGGAGGAAGAGTACAAGGCTAAATTTGAGGATTTAACTCAAAAGTTTGTTGACTTAGAGCAGCAGCACGAAGAGGTGACGCATCAGAACGCTGATCTTCAAAACCAGAACGCCCTCAGCAACACTCAGATCCAGAATCTCCAGGAGCGTCTGAAATCAGAGTTGACTCGGATAGCAACATACGACACAGAGCTGAAAGCCCTCCATGACGCCATGCAACAAGCCCAGGCTGACTGCAAAAAGGCAAGAGAGGCTCAGCAGGAGGAGGCCCAGAGGGTCTGTGCCTTACAGAAAGAAGTTCAGGAGCTCCACGGGGATCAGACGTCTCTGCTGCAACAACAGGCCAAGACCAAGGACGCCCTGGAGGCTGAGGTCGCTAAGCTTCGATTGGCTCTCCGCGAAGAAGAAGAGAACGGCGCCCAGAGGGCTGAAGATGTATCTGCGCTGCAATCTGAGCTCCTTCAGGCCACGCAGGCTCTCGAGGATGTTCGTGACAAGGAAGACCAAATGAACCAGCTGAAGAAGGAGAAACAGCAGCTGGAGGAGGAGGCTGCCAACCTGAGCAGCAAGCTGCTGAGCTTAGCGGAGGAGAGCGAAGAGGCCCATCGGGAGGCGACTCAGGCGAGGGAGGGTGAGAGCAGGGCCCGGACAGAGATGGAGGCCGTCCAGGAGAAGGGACACGCCATTGAGAGAGAAATCAGGGAGCTGAAGGAGAGATATGATGAGTCGCTCAGCACCATCTGTGATCTTCAGAGGAGGATTCAGACATCATCTCAGCAGACTGAAGCCAAAGACAAGAAGGTAGTAAACATGTGCTAACTTTGCTGTCAGACATTGGTTTGGTATTTAAACAACTTTTGGTACAGGCAGTATGTGAGTTTGAGAATAGCCTAATGTAACAACATGGATTTAAAATGTGATAGTCCGTCACTGAAAAGTTTTTGTTTGGTTTTACTTTTAAGGAAAAAAGAAAGAAAGAAAATCAGATTTGTCTCTTCTTCATTAGATAAAATTCTTCTGTCAGTTTTGTCACATGGTTGATAAAATAATGAAAAATGTTTTAACACTGATATTTGTGTGCCTTTGTGTGTGTGTGTCAGATCACAGAGTTGCTGACAGATGTCGAGCGATTGAAGCAGGCACTGAATGGTCTGTCCCAGCTAGCATACACGAGCAACGCACCCAACAAGAGACAGACGCAGCACATCGACACACTCCACGCTCAGATCAAGAGCCTACAGCAACAGCTGGCTGTGAGTGGACACACAGAAAATTATGTACATGTGCATATTCTGCTTTATTCTGTGGCAGTAGCTCAGTCCATAGGGACTTGGGTTGGGAACCAGAGGGTCACGTGTTCGAGTCCCCGTCCGGACCAAATATGGAGCGTGGACTGGTGGCTGGAGAGGTGCCAGTTCACCTCCTGGGCACTGCCGAGGTGCCCTTGAGCAAGGCACCGAACCCCCAGCCGCTCGGGGCGCCTCACCAAGGGCAGCCCCCTCACTCTGACATCTCTCCACTTTGTGCATGTATAGGTCCTGTTTGTGCATGTGTGTGTCTTTCGGACCTGTGTGTAATTGACAAGCAAGAGTGAAAACATTGAATTTCCCCTCAGGGGGATTAATAAAGGAAATAAACTTAAACTTAACTTAAACTTATATTTAATTTACTGCACAGTAGCTGTCTTTTTGTGAGAGACTGATTGAAAAACAACAACAATACAGTCTTCATTTAAACATACAGTATGTAAATTTCTGCCACTAGGGGTCTCTTAATAATACAAGAAGAAGCAATGCTGTCATTGCAGTGAGTTTCTCCCAGTTAGAATTCCTTCAGTGGTCATTGTTTAGGAGGTTTTAATTGGAAGCTGAATTATCCACAGAGGTCTCCTCCTCTCCAAAACAAAAGAACCATGTGATTTAAACCAGTAAAAACACTGAATAAAGCAGTTCCATGTTACAAATCAGTGTTTAGCCTACGCTGTTCGGCACATTATAAAGGGCCTGCTATCCCAGCCCTTGTCAATGTGTGCTCACCTTTTTTCTCTTATAACTGAAGATCTAGACGGTTTTTAAGGGGAGCTAAATTATCCACAGAGGTCACCTCCTCACCAAAACAAGTAAATTGGTGATTTAAACCAGTAAAAGCACTTCATAAAGCTGTTTCATGTTAAAACTAAATGTTTCTCCAGTGGTCTTTGGCACGACAGGGGCTGGAGCTGAGCTGCCACTAATGTTTGCTCAGCTTGTTTCTCTACTAACTGCAGATCCATTGACTAAAGACCTTCATCCGGTTAAAACAAATAGTTGACAAAGATCTAAAAATGTGGCTTAAAACTGGATAAAATATCAACAGCTTCTGGTGGACAACCACAACCCTGATGTATGTGCAAAGGGGATAAGATGCCACTGACAGGCGACAGGGTTTAAATGACAAGGACTATGTTGTTAATATAAATGACAGATTTCTCTGGGTTTGAACATTGTTGGAAACATTTGAGATGATGTAAGCACACAAGTCAAAAATACATAACATTGGTCTTGTTTTTAGAATATTTATGCTGAAAAAATGCAATTTATATCTTTAAATACATCCTGCAAAGTGATATTTGCAATATTTTTTGTTTTAAAAGTTAATGCAGCAACATTTTGGCCTCAAAATCATGAATCTCCATGTTAATCAAGGAGTGCAAGATTAACAAAGGCATCATGTGGTATTTTGGTTTATGGCTAATCAGGTACTTCATAGAAAAAAAATACAAAAACTACATTAAGTGACTGATTAATAATAGTGATCCCACCGTGTTTATCTCCTTCACTCGGGAAGTAGGAGTGAAAATAAGAATTTGAACGTGCTAGCAGACATCATGACTTAAAACTAGACAAAAACAACGGATAACCAACTTTATTTTTTCAAAAAAATGGTGCCGTTCTTATCCTAACATTTAAATTTAGCTGAAAGAGTTATAATAATGAGGACAGAATTCAGTGACTGCACCACATCAATTTTTTTTAACTCTGGCCATGTGTTTTAGCCACTGTGTCATCTCCATGTCTTTCTCTTCTTCTTCTGCAGGATGCTGAGAGGCAACACAGGGAGGTGGTTTCAATATACCGAACCCATCTTCTCAGCGCAGCACAGGTAAGTTCCTCTCACTAATCTCTACTGAAGGCGAGAGTCGTCTGATTTTTATTCCCATGAATGGCCTTGATTAAAATAACATAGTTTCTGTCATTCAGACCGTTTTCTGACGACCTCACAGGAGCATGTTCAGAACAACAGGGATAAGGAGGTTGAGCTCACAGAGATTCAGTGATTAGATTAGAGAGCAGAGTTCATGAAGAAATAATTGAGCAGATAACGTGACTTGATGATAAATTATTTAATTAAAACACTTTTCATTAAAGGCAGACTCATGCATTGAGTATTTAACATGCACTGCATCAAGCCTTGGACGTTTCCAGCAACACTTTTCTGATTTTTATAATTAAATTTGCTTTTAAAACTTCCCTTCACAAATGTTATTGGCTAGTGGGAGCATTTTGCTTTCCACATGGAACAGAAAGAAATTAGGAGAAATTGAGAGCTTTCACAACAGCTGCAGCACAGCTGTAGTCAGTGAAGGGTGATATGACACACTGGCATCGCAGATTAAAGAATACACAACCACACCTTTGCAAACATTAAATGATGTATAGAAAAGAGAGTGAATGTTTATGTTTATAAAATCACGTCTCTTTATCGACATCAGTCAACTTTTAGCACCTTGTCTGCAGGTACGTTATGTGTTTACACTACTGTGAAACATTGTGTGAAGGTGTCCTGATTATTTGAGGCAGCCATTGCCGGTGGATTGGAAACACATAATGGGTAATGGTTGGAAATCCTGTGGGAGCAGGCTGCAGATTTATTTATCCAAACAGGAAACCTCAAAAAGGCAAAAAGCAACAAAACATACACTCAGGTCAAATCATGTAAAAATATGTAGATGTAAGTGCACAGTAGCTGTCAGGAGCTGAAGCACACAATGATCTGTGATGTGAGGAATGGAAAACCGAGCTCGCAGTGACTGTGTTTACTTGCACAAAATATTCTGTTTCTTGCCCTTACTCCGAAAATGACATTATTTATTCTACTCTCACTCATGAAAAAGACACCGAAATACTTGAACTCTCTCGCTTGAGGCAGTAACTCTCTTCCCAAACCAGAGGGGGCAACCCACCAGTTTGTGGCAGAGCATGGCCTCAAATTTGGAGGTGCTGACTCTCCTCCTGACCGCTTTACACTTGGCTGTGAACCGCCCCAGTACCTGCTGGAGGTCATGGTGTGATGAAGCCAACAGAACCACATCGTCTGCGAAAAGCAGAGATGCAATTCGGAGGTCCCCAAACTGGACCTCTTCCCCCCTCCGGCTGCGCCTCGAGATTCTGTCCATCTATGTTCCAACCCTCACCTATGGTCATGAGCTCTGGGCAATGACTAAAGCCTGATTTATGGTCCTGCGTTAAATCAACGACGTCGCTACGTCGTAGGGTACGTGGCTACGCAGAAGGCTCGCCATAGCCCCCAGCGTAGCCTGACGTGCACCTCCCCAAAAATGTAACTACACGTCGAGGCGACGCAGACCCAGCGCAGACTGAGAGGGCTGTGATTGGTTTGCTTGGTAGCAACGCATTTCCGGTTCCGTATTTCCAGATTGCGCCATCCCCGCCATCTTTAAACATCTTCTGTTGTGATATAGATGTTGCAGTATTAAGGCCCATTTATGCGTTCAACGTTCAATACGGATACGGACGGAGCCTTCTGTCCGTGCTTTGCGTTCATTTCTCTGTGACCGGAAAAGCCGGAAGCTAAACAAAGAATCAACTAGAGACGACGATAACCATTCAGGAAAGGAACGCAGCCTCCTACCGCTCTGGCGGTGAATTGCACTGCGACGAAATGGAGTGACGGAGAAGTTCGAAGGGTTCACGACAGCGTCACGGCAACGACCTAGGTACGTCGTAGGTACGCCACAGGACCATAAATCAGGCTTAAAAGAATGAGGTCACAGATAAAAGCACGAGTTTCCTCCGTGGGGTAGCTGGGCTCAGCCTTAGAGATAGGGGGAGGAGCTTGGACATCCAGAGGGAGCTCGGTGTAGAGCGGCTGCTCCTTCACATTGAAAGGGGTCAGTTGAGGTGGTTCGGGCATCTGATCCTTGGCGCCTCACATTGGTTCTGGGCACGTCCCACTGGTAGGAGGCCCCGGGTCAGACTCAGGACATGCTGGAGGGATTATATATCTCACCTGCCCTGGGAACACCTTGGGGTCCCCCAGGAGGAGCTGGAAGGTGTTGCAGGGGAGAGGGACGTCTGGGGTGCTTTACTTGGCCTGCTGCCCCCGTGACCCGGCCCCAGATAAGCGGTTGAAAATGGATGGATGGACATGATCCATATCAAATTTAGAATATTGTCATATTCGGAATAATATAATATGTGCATATAAAAATTATGGTACAAGTGGATTAATTGAATCTCATCTCTGCCTGTGTTTCTCTCGTAGGGCCACATGGATGAGGACGTCCAGGCTGCCTTACTGCAGATCATCCGCATGAGACAGGAGTTTGTGTGTTAAAGCTTCCTCTGACAAAACAGATGCTACCTGCTGACTCAAATTCACCATTCTCACATCTCCCATGGCTGAGTCCCCTGCTGTGGCCCCTGTGGGTGCCCAGCGTGTGTTTGTCAGTCATACAGCATCCTCTCTGCCCTGAAACCCCCCCCTTTTTTTGTAGTGTGGCTGCACTTTGGTTCCCAGATATCTGAGGGCCTTTTCACACCTGAAAGTCTGAACCAGGCTTCATATTTATGTTATATAGTGTACATTTGATCTGGTTAGAGTCGGTTTCAAGTTGCAATTATGCAGCGTACTAAAGACCTATACATGACATACCTACATCCTGTCATCATGACCTTCATATGCTGCTCTGTCGTCCTCTGGTATCCCCTTCCTCTCATCCTTTGGGAAAATAATTCAGTGTCATAATTTTTTAAAGTTGTCTCCTCCTCTCCCCTGTGCACTGTGGCTCATTTTGTTATGTTGTGTTGTTCATGGACAAACTGAAACCTGCATAGTCCATTCACTACCACTGACTTCACTTACTACTCATTTCTCCTCTGCTTCTATCGCCAACACCTGTCTGCTCTGAGCGCAGCCACTACACACAAGGTGCTAAACTACTCTTATCACTTGATGACAGCCTGCCAAATGTTTCTGTAATTGGTCTGATTGGCCTTTCAAAAAAATGTTTTCACACAAAAAACAAACCAAACCATTGCTCAGTTTGATCCTTGCTGAGACCACCTCTTTTTGCTGATGTTCAGCTGTTTGGTGTGGACTGTGGTCACACCTCCAACTCTGGTTGGGCTCAAACTAAAAAGTTCGAAAGTCGGACCAAACGAGGTAGGTGTGAAAGGGCCCGACATCTCTGTGCTGTGGGTGAAAGTGAGTAACTTTAGATTTTAGATACAAATGTGTTGTTTTCAACTTCAGTGAATGAAAACTCATTTTACTTCAAGCTGTCACTGTATCAATTTCTGCATCAAACTGACCTGTGAAATCATTTTGACTCAATGATCTTCATATATGCAGGAACATTTTTCAGTTTTTCTTACAGTGCAGTCTGTGAAAATGAGATTCCATACATTTATGTTCAATTTGTTCTAAATGATGCAAATCTGTGCAGCTTTATGCAGCATTAACTCATTATATTCAGTGATCATGGGAGTCATGTTAGATGTAGGTCCCTCTCATAGATCGCTCACCGCTGAAATGCTCAGCTGAAATGTAACACGGACATGAACACAAAGACCACTTTTCACATTCCCACCTGACCGTCAGCTCTCATACAGTACGTTTTAGTGTTCAACAGCATGTTTGAGGGATAGATACACATTTTTAAAGTGGACCTTAAAGGATGAGTTCACAGTTAAAGGAGTGAATGCTGCAGTAGGTTTAACTGTAATTATTCCTCCTGGTTATTCTGGACACGAAAAGATCGTTTAAAAAATTGTGAACCTGTCCTTTGATACAATACTCACATGCCAACATGTGCATTGAAGGAGTTACTGGTCCCTGTAGACTGACTGGTTGTGAAGAGATCTCTTGCCCTTTGAGATGTGTGTTTTTAAGTTTTTTTAGTGATTTTGTTTCTCACTCTGCATGTGGGATTTTACTACCTTGATTGCTTTTGAAAAAATCTTTGCATAAAATACACCGAGCTTCGTATGCGTAGCCTTGTACTGGGTTCAGCCATGCTGCAAAATCTTGGTTAGGTAGCCAATTTTTGTTGAATCTCCACTTTCCAGATGTCGTATAGGGCAGTGGTTCCCAGCTGGTGGGTCGCTGGTCCATTCTGAGTGGACCGCAAGTTACTCACGAGTGTGTCCAGTTTGTAAAAAAACACCCTTTATTTTGAAGTACAGTGAATTTCTTGTGCAGAGCTTTCGTGTTGAAGTGCTGTTTCCTGCTGTAGAGTTACTGACTAACAGACAACTACTTAACAGAGACGGCAAAGTAGTTCAACAACATGGCCAAACGCAAGTATGATGCTAAAGATAATTAACCATAGGACCCTGAGATAATGACTAAGGAGAAATCTGGACCCCGTGGCTGTTTTTACATTTTACATGAGAAAAATAACAAATCCTACTGTCCATGTCTTTGCATTTTAAGACTTAAAAGATTTATTTAAGATGTTTTAATACTAATTAAGGCCTTGTTTTTAGACTCGTGAATTTAGTGTCTTATCAGACTTTTTAAAGGATCAGCAGGAACCCTGTATTATAAGATTAGCAGTATGAATTAGTTACATCAAGTGGGTGTCTTTCAAGGTTATGGTCTTTTTTTTTAGTATGAGATTTCCTCTTTGTGTGTCCTCGCTGAGCTGCAGGGACAACACTTCAAGAAGAAGGGTGAATTTTGCTGTAAAATCTCTGATTTTTGATGTATGTTTGCACAGACAGAGGACTGTAGATTTGTCCCCCATCTCTTACACCGAAACAGCATTAGTAGGGGATCCTGTCACATCCAGTGTGGACAGAACGACTAATTACAGCATCCATTAACTCTCTTAATGCACATGTGGGCATCTGAGTGTTGTTTATGTGAACCTATCCTTAAACCTTGTTCATGTCACTTGTAACACTTCAGCTTCTTGATTTAGATGTTTCTCTTTTTCATTTTGTGGCGCAGTCATCATCTCCTGGAGGCCCAAACTCATGTCAGAATCATCCAAAGACCCACAGAGGGTAAAACAATCATCCAAATCTAAAACTAGTCACCATTTTGGTACATGGTGGATAGTAATATGACAGATCTGGGAGTCATGTCACTCACAGTCTTGTTACAGAAGTCTGGACATGGTTTGTGCTGGATTTGAGTCATGGAGGAGTGTGGAGTGGAGCTCTCTGTGCTGTGTCCTACAGTTTGCAGTGGGATGTCGTCCTTTTGTTGAAACCAGAGTGTCCTCTAGTGGAGAGACTTGGCAGGCCAGGTTGATAGAAATTGTAATAATCAGTGTGGCCCAGGGGTAGGCAGCTGTTGTTTTTGGTGGCTGTAATATCTGCTGGGAAATTTATTATGAATCCAACAGTGTAGAAAATGAATGTGAAACTAAACAGAGCTTTGTCTGTCTGTTGCTTTGCATCACTACATTTAAACCAAACCCCCTTTAAAGAAGCAAGAAGCTGATTTAATAAGTTTGATTTAATGTTGACTTAAAATAAAACCTAATTTCCGCAGCAGTGAACTCTCCTAGAACAAGGGCTGCGTACCCCTGAGCCAGCTATTTGTGACTCTTGGTGGTGTCGTGTAGTGGTGTTGTGATTGTTGAGCGAGTCTCTTATGCCTTTACACTGATATATTTTTCATAGCTTTGTACTTCTTTAATTACTGTACTACAGTGTGACAATTCTGATATTCAGCAGGTCTGGAAGTAGAACGGCACAGAACACGTTCAGGGTAACATTTACTGTAGATGTGACAAGAATAGAACTGATTATTTTTGTAGATAGACAAACCCCCTAACGATTAGCTATATGAAGCACTCCTGTCTTTAACTTTCAGCTAACACACTTCAACAAGTCAAATTTATCGCTCTCTGTTTTTATATTTTGGCCAAAAACTCTGTTTACACCAACAGATAGTTTAGAAAATACCTCTTTGCATTTTGTTATGCAGATGTTAGGAATTAACACTTTCTGTCTTCTCTCATCCGTTAACATAGACTTTAAACTGAATCCAGCTAAATCTCTAAATAAATATACTGTATACCAATCTGTTTAAATTGGTTGATGTCTTGACAATAATATCTGTGTTTGTGAATCAGTAATACAAAATCAATAAAAGTGCCTAACATAGAAAACTACTTCTTTTGTTCTGTGTGTTTTGTCATTACTTAAGTCACACTACAGGTTTGGTCATGACTGAAATATTCTACAGGTATACTGTGCAGGGTTGTAAAAACACCCATGCAAAGTGAAACCAAAAGCCAAAGCCAGATTTGCTCTCATTTGGCGTTTCGCCTCGCTGTATTTGCATTTATCTTTTTTTTTTCTTTCTTTTTTTTGAGTGTGATTTGTTTATATTTTTGGAACAGTGCTTCTTGAATGCCTGCTGCTTACAGTTCAGCACCAGAGGTCTCATTTATAAACTTTGCACACACACAAAACGAGGCCTGAAAGAGGTGTATGCCACTTCCCACAGAAAAGTTGTGATCTATAAAAACAGACTTGATGGGAGAAACTTTGACCCATGCTTACAAACATTTTAGAGACAGTAAATTGGTGACACAGATGGTGAGTTGTGAGCCTGATTGTAGAAATTGTCTAATATTTTTTGCCGCACACCATTGTTGGCTTTGGTCTGTGCGTACATTTTTTTAATATGGATCCTACGCATTGTTTTATAAGTACGACCCCTGGTTACTACCTTTTTATAAAGGTAGAGCTGAGCTCACCTGAGCACGGCAGAGGTACACACACAAAGAAACTAAGAATATACAGGCAGAGCGCAGAGTCTGTGTGAGTCTATACACTGTTTTTAAAGAAAACTCCTGCATAGCGTACCTTTAACAACTCTTGGGTGGATAGCTGTGGATTTTTTTTTTTAAAAATTCATGATCCCCAGTGGATGAATCCTGCTCACTTAGGTGACCTCCTGACTTTCTTATCTGGCGTCAACAGTGGGTCAAAGTTTTCACTTACTCTATGAAACACCCCAACATCTACTCAACATTTGCAATGACATGCAATTTGAGATTTGACAGCCTTTCATTGAATATAGAAACATTACCTTAATCAACTGTGGACCCACTGTAATCTCTGAACAGGCTCCATGGTAAGCTAATAGTAATGTCCAGGTACAATGGTTGAGATATATTCACGCATTTAGTGAGGAGAGTCACAAAATAGGTAAGTGTTTTTGTTTTTTGTTGTTTTTGTTGGGTTTGTGATGTTCATGCTAAATAGAAAACCTTAAAATAAAAACTTAAAAATATATGTTAAAAAATGATGGATTGGAACAGCTTTGGGGCTCCCTTCACTTTTAATACTGTTTATTTGTGCTAGCTAACAAATGTTAGCATGCTAGCATGCTAAACTAATGGTTTAGATGGTGAACACCAGTATGTTAGCATTGTCAGTCTGAATGTTAGCATGCTGATGTTAGCATTTAGCACAAAGCGCTGCTCTACAGTCTCATAAAGCTGGTTATTTGTATTTTATTTACCCCAAGAGAAAACTGTTGAGTGGCAGTTGCAGTACAAAGTAGGAAAGTTTGCAAATATATATATATATATATATATATAACCAAAAATATAATTACCAAAAATATATTGGTAGGTGGTTTGAGGGGGAACGTTATCCCCCATGTTAACAACAAGACCAAAATGGCGTCCCTCTTGTTAATTTGCCATCCTTCTCCATCCTGGTCTGGGTACAGACATCATTAACAAGAGGAGATTTTTAGCTTTTATTTCTAATTATCAGTATTGTTTTTGTGCTCTAAATATTTAACAAAACACGTCACATTACATTAAGACTGTCACTGTGCCACCATTTTGAGAAAACGGCCTTCAAAACTTGCGCTGTGGTGGCCGCAAAGATACATGACGCAGCTCAATGGGCTCTAAACTGGGAGCGAATGCTGTACTTCAGGGACTGTCCCGGAGTGAAAAAAATACACAGAAAAGCTAGGGGACACTTTCACCTTTAGCCAAAGAGGTACGCGAAACAAGCGTACCCAGCAACACAGGTGCAGGAAGAGAGGGGTATGAACGTTGGAAGAACTGCCGTCAGTTTGAAGGAAGAAGTTAGCTACAGAGTTAGCAATGGACTTTACACAACAATATTCACAACTTGGGTTTATTTTTTATTTTTTTTAATGAAAACCCTTTTTATTTGTTTTATCGATGGGAGCTTGCGGATTAAAGGATGGTAATTAATCGAGAAAAGGACACCTATGTGGGCTTCAGGACTGCTTCAAAGGTAAGGTTAATCTTTTAGCGTGCTGGTAACTTAAATGTGAATTCATTATACTTTAGTGCTCATGATTTCCGTAATTGAACTTCACGATTGAATTTTGGAGAATCTAACAGAGCTAACGATGTATAGCATGTCCGCATTGACACAAATTTAAAAATTGAATGTTGTATTTTGGTGCGCCATGCTAGCTGCTTACAGCTAACGTTAGCTCACGTTTGGTTTAAAGAGATTTTAATGTTTAATGTAAAATGTAGACTTTGTTTATTTACAAACAGACGGAAACCCACTGCTCAAACTCTGTCTGGTTATTATAAAGCTAATATTCATAATTGTAGGGAGACACAGAGGGAGGGAGAGTGGTGCTGAGTAGGACCAGAGTGTAGTTTACAGTTGTTAGCTGCTAGCTTGTCATGTTTTTACAAGATCAGAATGTGTAGTCTGAATTTGGTGAATTTGGTGAACGTTGCCTGAGTGACTTGCAGAAAATGCATGACCCCCCCATCCACCATAAATTAGTTTATAGATTTTCAAAACTTACCCTTTGATGTTTGAAAGTTAAAAGTTAACTATGAAATCCTGGAGTTGAAAAAAGCCTCATATTTTCACTCTTTTAGTTTGTGTAAACTAGTATAGTAAACTATAGTGGCTAAGCCTAAACTTAAAGCCGCTGAGGAGCTGCATAGACCGGCTCACCTTACGTAACCGACTGCTGTTCATTTTTATTTAAATATATCTTTTTATTTACTTGTTTATTTGACAAAGTCAAATGCACAGGACATTGTTTCATAATACAAATAAGATGCCATGCATAGAGGTTTCTAGCCATCGCAGATTTGCAACCCCTGTCCCTTGTTAGGCTGATAGTATTAAAACAGTAAGTTTAAGATTACTGAGCACAGAGTGATTCAGTACAGTAATACAATACAGCATATACAGTAAAAGACTAAGTCAAAGAGAAGACCACAATAAGAACAGAGACAAAAACAATAAACAATGACTATGTTATTTAAGTATTAGGGCTGTGTCTGTTTGTCTGTACATCCCCACACATGTATGTTCATGCATTGTGCTTAATGCACTTGTGTATGCATTTATCTGTGTGTTCACAGGCTTACTTCAGTTCCAGCCAGTACTTTCTTTACATGTGTGTTAACAACCCTGAGTTGTGTCAGTTTTTTAATTTCAGATAGTAATGCATTGCACAGTTGTATCCCTCTTACTGAAAAGGTTGATTGACCAAATATTGTTCTGCATTTTGTGCTCTACAGTTTCCACTTGTTAAAACTGTCAAAACGTAATATGTTGTATTTCTGTAGAATTAGGCAGTGGTGCCATCCAGCAGGTCCCCCTTCTTCTTCTTGTCTAATCATAATTTATGTCTCACCACTGTAGGCTTCAGTGAAAACCATGTAAGCATCCATGAAATTGTCCATAAACCGTTCAAAGGAACAATATCTCAACATTACATTCAGCAGTGTACACCTGGCTTGACATGGCCTGGTGTTGCTGTCCAAAAACTATATGTGCTCATCCATCTAGCAACATCTGTCACTGAATTGATGGTTATCTATATTGAAAGATACCCATGACAGTACAGTGACCCCTACAGGACAAATTGGCATCCCACATACATTTTACACCATGGATGGCTCCTATAACCATATTAATTTCCCAATTAAGTTATGTTTTTTTCTGATCGAAGTGTATGTGGGACATCATGTGTCCAGGGACTGTTGGAAATTTAAAAATCCAATGATAATTGCTGTTTTTACAGTTTTTGGATATGGTAAATGGTGTGAATTTGGTGATATTATATATTATATTATATTAGTGGGTAGAGCAGGCGCCCCATATACAAGGCTGTTGCCGCAGCGGCCCGGGTTAGACTCCAGCCTGTGGCCCTTTGCTGCATGTCACTCCCTCTCTCTCCCCCTTTCACGCTTGTCTGTCCTATCGATTAAAGGCAAAAATGTCTTTAAAAAAATGTAGATTTCCTTTAAAAATCTGCGTTTAAGTAAATAAAAAAATACAATCATTTAAATGTGTGTGCCCCTTCTCTCAGCCAAAATATAAAACTTCAGTCCTGTTCCAGTGCTTGAAGAATTATTTGCGATGCCTCCCCTTTTTGCCCCCCCCCCCCCCCCCCCCCCATAAATAATAAACACTCCCTTGTTCCTGTTTTATTATAGCCTTAAAAACATACTTTGTCCATCAGCTTCATACTGTGCACAGTGATGTTCTACATGAACACATTTTCAGCCAAACTGAGAACAGTTGTTTTTATTTCACATGAGAGATTTCTGTATTTGTGTTGTTGTCCTTACTTTTTTAAAGTGTTGGAGACATTGTTGGAAAAATGTGATCGCACAAACTTCTGTGCACCAGACAGGGCTTACCAATTTTTTATAATCAAATTGTTTTATAGTTGTGAGGTTTGTTTTCTTAAGCTGCCAGATGAGCGCCCAACGAAACTGACCAAACGACACCCACACAGTCTGATGACGCACATTAGCTGGGTTTGTTTTCCTGTTTGATTGTTGCTCATTCAGTCATGAATATTTAATATCACACAGAAATACAAAGTATTCAGGGGCTTTAAGTCATACAGTATGTGTGTGTGCTGTTAGCTCCACACACTCTTACTTCCCTTGTGGAAACAGCGCAGCTCATGTGGTTTCACTTTAAGTACAATCAACCCAGGAATGAGAGCGAGTAGCTCTTTGGCACACGGTGCTCACTTTTATCTTTGAGCCCATGTCTCTATTGATTTGTCTGTTGGTCTTTTTTCTCCTCACAAGATTTATTTTTCATTAAAGCTCTTTTCAACGGGATGCTGAGAACAGAGGTCAGGGCTATTTCAGTTATCTCATTTCAGATAAATTCA